AAGAGTGCCTCCCACTTGCCATCAAAACCCGTGTGAAAGAGAAAAAAAAAATAGAAAACATTAGAATGAAAAAGATATGAAGAAACATAAAGATGAGGAGAAGGAGCTAGGGGCACCAACCTCTCCTCCGCCCATCGGAATTAGACCTAACAACTGCACGAGTTTGGTGTATTGTAATACAAATATGACGGAATGACTGTCACATCGAAAAATTACTCCTAGGAGATGCAGCACCACATAAGAATTTCTACCCAAAGAAACTTAATTGGAAATTTCTAAATAAATGTGTTGGTTAAAGTTCAGCCTGATTTATAATCGACACAATTGTGCTGCCCAAAAGAAAGGGGGGCTGCAAACCAGGCAGAAAACGGTGTGATTGCGTATATGTGAGGTTGCTGGAGTTGTGTTCTCGGACATTACCAAGCAGGCCACTGTAAAGATAGGACATGGAGTTTTACTTACATTATTAATTGGAATTAGACTACACAATATCATCAGACATTCTACCAGACGCATTATTCATGCCACTGTGAGGAATAAATTTCCACGCAGCTGTCCTTAGCTCTTGCCCAACTGCAATGACCGCAACAAGAATCAAGCATTGACATTGCAGTGGAGAAGATTTGTTATATCTCATGCCTTGATATTGCCATACCAGATCGCTTTAAGATCTTTTGGGCTTTTTGGCAGTATCACCTCAGACTTTTGAATTTAGGATCCAGAAACTAACTCTTTCAAAGATGTGAAAGGTGAGTTGTATCCATAGACATCAGCATCTCTCCATAGAGCCATTCCTGTAAGGAGAAAAATATCAGAGCTCGTTATGCCGAATGCTTAATCGGCCTAAGCATAAAATGAGAAAATGTTCATATTAGATTTGATTATTTTCTTTGCCGATACTATCGTTTTTCAGAGGGGGATGATGTAAGAATTGATAATACTGGAAAAGAAACAACCTATCCACAAAATCAAACCAGCTGTTGCTGCTAAGAAAAATTCCTTGCTGATACTGTTGAACCTGGAATTACAAATAAGATACCGTTTCTTAGTAGAGATCAAACTTTCTACCAAAAGAACATCAGAAACTATGAATAACCATAAATCAGGAACAATTACCAATACAAGCACACGATATTCCCATATCCATAAAACAAAGAAGCCCAGGTAGAACCAGTGAACCTGCAGTCATTGTTTACCGTTATTCTTACTTAAACTCAGTAATATAAACGCATTATTAAATCAACAGATAGATCAACCACTAGAGCAGTTTAAGAAGTACATTGAAAAAGATAATTACCAATTCGAAAAAAAAAAGAAAAAAGATAATTACCACATAAAATCACGAATAAAAAGGGCACGTGGGATCATAAGTCCATTTCCAATCATTGCAAGCAACATCGAGAAAGCTGATAAACCTTTGATGTTGTCAGGATTTAGGAAATTTGTCCACTGAACAGAAAGCACCAATTGTTGTCAGATGTATGCAAAAATTAACACTAGAAATTCTAAAACAGTACCATTTGCGAAATTGGCATCCACATGAAAAGAAGTGTAGCTGTCCATCCAGATATAGCTCCCACAAATTTGATGCCTTTTGCAGAGAGTTTCCCCAATCGCGCCTGCCAAAATAAGCAGATTCTAAAAAGATGCACGATAGAGTGTCCTCCTGTATTTCTATCTTAGCTTTGCAAAGAAAGTTGAGAAAATAAAAGGAAAAAGAGTTAAAAGTTTTTCTCATTTCAGATGATAAACAAACACGCATCACTCATGTTAAAGACAAGAGGTTAACTTCAAAGCAGGTCCCCTTTAATCAATTGACTATGCCACGATTCAAGTAACAGAATAAGATTCTTTGACTTAAGAGTAAACAAAATAAGCATTTTTAAGACCTACCCATTTAATGCGTCCTCTCAAAAGGCAATCTTACACTGTAAGCAAAAGTCAATTGATTATATCCTACAACGATTTAAGTGGTAAAGGTCTGTGATTAATTATTTTCATATAGTTGTCATACAATCATTATATAAAACAAAAAAGATATTTAATTCCATGATCAGAGGACTGCAATCCGTATTACTAACAGACAGCGAATAAGGAGACCTCAAAACAACTTCTGGTTCTTTTTGGCATACATACAATGATTGCATCCCCACGTTTTCTAGTCTAGTCTTGATTTTACCAGATTGTATTTAGACCTAGAAACCACCAGAAACAAAAGAGGCCATTAACAGATGTACTCCACCTGATGAAACTAGGAAATGCATTTACATATAAGGCATATGAGAGATCACTTCAAATGAGTGTCTTATTTAATCAGTAAATGACAAATATTTAATCTCAGAAACAAGGAAGTTCATGCACATTTTATGTGTAACACACACTATCTACATGTTGATCACACAATTTCTGAGGAATTATATCTTAATACATCAAAGGACCAAAAGTCAATATATAACTCGACATGGGGCCAAACTTACCATAATAACAGCCACCAGAGCAACAAGAAAAGCAAATACTCCAGGCAAGATACTGTTGGGTATATACGGAACAAACGTAGACCACATAATCTGTAACAAAATTATTAACAAGAAAATCAAGTGAGAGAGAGGGGGGGAAGAGAGAGAGAGAGAGAGAGAGAGAGAGAATTACTTGGGGAAGAACTGATAGCCCGCCAACAGTAATAAAATCTTCCCAGAAGCGCCAGATTCCAGCATTAAGCAGACCAAAGTAATTCAAGAAATTCAAAACAAGGCCAGTTGCCACAACCACGGAGGTGATCACAAAGTAAGGTAGAGGCATCGCTTCTGCCATAGAAAGTTGAGCAAAAACCGCATATAAGGAAATTACGCCCAATGTCTGCACCACAATCGCCTCCTTCTCTCTCTTCTTTGCAAAATATGAAAGCAGTGAAAGGTTTCCAAGCAAACCAGTAAACATTCCCTGCATTTACAACATTCCCTCCCTTAGGAAATTAAAAGCCTATGAGCTGTTTGGTTGCTGAGATGTGTAAGAAAAGAAATACGTATGTTCAAATCTTGCACGTTTAGGCACATAGAGCTTGTAAGTATTAGAGCTTAGTCAACTTAGCCAAATGGAATATATGTTATATTGTTATTGAGACAAGTTTTGTTTCTGTCTTCCTCTTATTGTTGTTTTGGTCTGACTGTGACAAGTTTTCAGCTTGTAAAGGGCATCTAAGATAATAGCCAAGAAAATAGAAATCAGAAAAAGGCGCTGCTATATTATAACAAGTAAGCCGGTGCAAAATATTACCAGCCATGGGACTGCCAAAAGTGCAGCTTTATTTCCTGCCAGAAGATTTTGGGCATTGAGTATGATCTGAGGCATTTGCAGTAACAGAAATGGGATATTTGATGCACCAGAGAATTTTGCTGTCCAGGAGTCCCATTGCTCGAAACTTTTATTGCTCTTGAATTTCACCGATCCATTGCAGAGATTCCAAAAAACAATTTTGAAACATCAGCATTTTCAACCCAAATTTAGGGCTCATATGAAATTTAAATGGAAATCACTACATAAATTGTTTGTGTATGGGTTTGGTTACTGGGAAGAGCATAGGAATCTGAAAGAAATTGAAATTATATGTTGACTTTCTTTAAAAGAGAGAATAAATTAAGAAAAAGATAGCAATAATTAATTGAAGTTTGAAATTGGAAAAAAATAACGGTTTATATTGTTTTACATAAATACGCTTACGCATAGGCAGAAAAGTAGTGAACAAGGTGCAATTGTTATGGATTACTCTTAGGAATGCATTGCTGAAATGCGTAGTTTGTGTATGGCGGGGGGAGAGAGAGAGAGAGTACCTGAACCTGATGATGAAGAGGGTGAGGGACGTCAGAGTCGAGAGCGCAGAGAATTCGGCGGCGAAGCAATGTGTGGGTGTTATAGTAGCATTGGGCGGAGACGGATAGAGAGTTTTGTTGGATCAAGGAATATTTGAGATGATGATGTTGCAATTGTACTTGCAGTCCAGGTGGCTTGCTAGTGCTACCGCTACCGCTACTTCTTGTTCTACTTCTAGTTCCAGTAGAGGAACAGCAATAGGGCACCACCAGACACTTGGCCATTGATTTCTTTGATTTGATCTGAGAGAGAGAGAGAGAGAGAGAGAGAGAGAGAGGAGAGATTGCACCCTCCATTCAATAACTGAGCTCAGAAAAGAAAAGAGCAAGCCAACACTTGCAGGTGGAGATTGGGAGTGTGTCAGATGTGCGTATCTCCATACGACACGTGGAAAATAGATATTTGTTTCTTGCTTTTACTCCTCCTTTGGGCTTTGGTACTACCCTCAATTCAATAACTGAGCTCAGAAAAGAAAAGAGCAAGCCAACACTTGCAGGTGGAGATTGGGAGTGTGTCAGATGTGCGTATCTCCATACGACACGTGGAAAATAGATATTTGTTTCTTGCTTTTACTCCTCCTTTGGGCTTTGGTACTTGATATCGCAATAACACGATATTGTTGTCCATGTGTGTATTAGATATTTAACGCAAAACGTACGTTTTAAGCAGGAGAAAAACTTTCACGGATCCAAAAGTTTAGGAATTAGAAAAGGAAAAGGAACATGAATTGGAAAGTGGAAGGTGAAATTTTTTCGTCATTTACACATCATTCAAAATTTGAGATACATCCTTGCACCTTTCTTCCTTTTATCTGAGTTTACTACCATTTTGGGTAGAAAATGGAAAGAAAAAGAAAATATTATTAAAAATAAAATATAAAAAAACTGTTGCAGCTAATTTGGCTCTGGCTCGGACTCTTCCCAGGTATGTGCATGCACAGAGAGAGAGAGAGAATAAAACTTACTTGTCAATTACAAAAACTTATCTAGGTCAGACTTATCATGAAACATTATTGGTTGCTTGTATATATGAAATGAGCAGGCCTGTAGGTCAAGGCGCGGGGGAAAATCCTTATCATCATAACTAATAAAAACATTACACATAGATAGTTTCTCTCCAAAGATAATTCATGCAAAAAATTCTGGGCTCCAACTTATGAGCTCTTAGTGATTGATTTCTGGTCTTGTTACAGAACGTTTAGGGTCAGGTCATGGACCCTCTACTTCCTTCTATACTATCTCAAACCTGAAAACAACTTCAAGGTACAACTGTCTCGTCCTCTCGTGTATATATGTACATGCATTGTGGTGTCTCAAATACAACAGACCAAATTAATGTTTCAGTAGCATGGCCTCCATCTCTCTTTTCCTCGCAGCATGTTTCAGTTTCTCTAGAGCAACAAGTCCAACTTGCCTAACTCTTTCTCTGGACAATCCTATACTGAAGAATTGACATAATAACATAGTCAAATCAAGTGGATGGAAAAGTTAGATGCAAGCAAGAAGCAAGTGGAGATTGCAAACATGACTAGCATTAAGACTTAGGTAGTTTGAAGAGAGAGCTAGAGGTTATCTGATTGTTTTGATTTTATGGCACACAGAACAGAGACCACAGGTGTTTCCAATCATGTGCACTTCATTCCCTTTTGCCCTTTTGTCTACAAAATATTAACATCTGAATTTAGGCTCTTGTTTGGACTCACCGTTTACTAATGTCTTCCCAAGTAAGACATTCATTTTCCAGACCATAATAAAGCTGTATGATCTCTCTCTCCCGTTCCCCAAGCATCATATTTATGAGCTTGCTTACTTCTTCCTGCAAATATATATCACTGGCACAGTTAATTTTCTCCACTACTCTTGGAGTACGACTACAGAATTTAGAATCTTTTAAAAATTCACAATTCAGAAACAAACATGTGATGTAAATGTAATACACATATAGACACACATTCACTGCCCTTTTCCCCAATCTTCCAACACACACACAAACACAACATATGTGCACACACACGTAACTCGAAATATGATCTCTCTGTCAACGCAATAATAATTCTTTTAAGGGTGCATTTTAAAAGGTGTGTTTACAACTACCCATATTCTGAAGGAAAACAAAAGGATAAGTGCCATATACCAGCTCCAGTGCCAGTGCTGGAATCCAACCAAAGAAAAGGATGAATATTCACTTTTTATTTTTATTTTTAACTCCCATTTTAATTGAAAACTGAAAGCTTCTGCGCTCTAAAAGGTGAGAATTAACATTTAAGATAAAAGTATCACTAATTTAATGAACTTTATAAGATCAAATCAATGTGGTTTTTCTTTAAGGACCTTTATTGGGATTTTTTTTGTGATATGCTTGAACTATCTCCTTTTGATTACAATGGTCACACTTTGGCATGTTGTTTTACATTTTTCACGTATTCCTCTTCTTACCTTCAATGCCCACGCATCCACCCCATGCCATGGGATGTTCTCAAGGCGATTATCTGCAATGTACTGTAAAAGATTTATAAAGGAGAAGGTCAATTACGAGGCTGAAAACTGGCATGCATGGAAATGAAAATTTACTAAACTGGAATTGCAAAAATTGAGGTGATGTAATCAACACTTACACTATGATGAGTTTCTCCTGGAAGGCCATTTAAAGAGGGGAATGCGTCCCTATCAAGTGAGAAAACCTTACTGATTGCCTACATATTATAAAACTGCATGGTGAGCATGGAGATAACAACATAGGAATGCATAAAACAGAATAACACAAGCATTTAGTACCTCTGTAGCATTCCTAACTTTCTTTTTGGACATGTTCAGGCTTTCTGCGATCCTCTGATAATGAAGTGTAAGCACATATCAGGTAAGAGCAGAGTGATAATCAACAATATTGTGGTAATTAAAAATGAAGAAACATTGAAATTTATGGTAATCAACAATTGCTTGCTATAATAACAAAAATACTTACATCAATTGATGGAGTTATTCCTTTCTCCTCCAATCTAATTTTTGCATTTCTGATTAAACCTAACCTCTCATGCAAATGTGTAGGCAGTCTTAAGGTTCTGGAATTTTCAACCAGTGCTCTTGAAACACCCTGAGGATATAAGGAAAAAGTATCCAGGGTTAGTTTTTTCAATCAGTCAGTTTTGCATGATGATATCTGCTATATATTGCTACCCACTATAGTTACCATTTGAAGGGAAAACATTAACCTTACCTGACGTATCCACCAGTAAACATATGTAGAAATTTTGAACCCCTTCGAAGAATCAAATTTCTCAATCCCACGCAGTAGTCCGATTAACCCACCCTACATGAGAGATTATGAGATTCCAATCACGTTCTGTTCGAGTTACAGTAGTTTGGTTCATTTGTTGGATAAATATCGGGGCCTCATTGTTGAAGTAAAAGAACAGAAAATAACCTGAATAAGGTCAGCCATTTCAGCGCCCATATTATCATATCTCTGAGCAATGGACATGACCAAACGAACATTGCTCATTGCCAGCTTCTCTCTTGCCAATTTACATTCAATCAACTTCGACTGTAATTGAGCACGGGAAATCCTCAAGGAAGTTGCAAGTTGTTCATCAGAGGGCTCACATCCCAATCTCTCTTTCAGTCTGGAGATCCGAATGCAAGGATTAGGATTAGAAAGAAAAACCGCCAGATAACAACGATTTTATTTTTCTTTTTGCATGAGGAACCAGTCTCCGTAAGGGTGAACTTACTCAGAAGATTAATCAATTAAAAGTTTCAGAAAAATGAAATACACACACCCACACTCCTCACCCTGTAAAAGAAAAACTACCTGCTTTTTGTGGATAAGTTTGATAACTTAGCAAGTTGAAAGGGATTTGCTCCATGAAAAAAGCAGCATACTTCCTAGAGTATATCTAGTTTTTAAACAATAAATCAATGCTTCAGCGTTTATCCTATGATCACTTTGAAATTCTTTTCCTGGATATTGACCCACTTACTTTAGTACTTATGATTCACATGATTGAAAGGAAACAGTTATAACCTTGATTTATGCTCCTCTACGGAAAGACCAACTTTAATTTTCTTTGACAGGCGTACAACCTCAGTGTGAGTCAGCAAATCCTCACTTAGAACACCCTTCACATAACCCTTTACACGATTCTGAAGCAGCTCCGGACTGACAATGGCTCTCAAAGGCTTATTGGTGCTAGGGTGCATTACGCAAGTGCTTTTGTTCAAAGTTTTCCTCTTGGTACTAGTCATCCTCCTTTGACGAGCAGATACCCCAGAACAAGTGACTGGTATCTTCTTGTCAGTTGTTTTTGATGTTGAATCCCTTAATACTTTTTTCTCAAAAGAAAGATTCCATTGTTTTTCCAGCATAGACTTCTGTAGCAAAAGAAGTGCTTCCACTGAATATTCAAGATCAGAGCTTTCCTCCTCCAAGTCGTTGAGCTCCTGAAACCATTGCTGCGTGGCTGATGAAGGAGCAGAGGCAGTATGTACATGTTCTTTCAGAGCCCTAATGGACTGTTGAGGTCGATTCGAAGATGGAAATCTGGAACTGCAGTTGGAAGGCTTTCTGGCAGTGACAACATTCTTTGTTGAAGAGAAATGGCAATGTAAAAACCCATGATGATCATTGAGATGAAAGAGCTTTTCTGTGATATCAGAATAATAGAAGGAAGAATTCAACAGCCTCTTCCCCGTACTAAGCCCAATAACAGCAGCTGTGGCCATCATATGGCTTCTTCTTTTGTTTATACAATTACCATAACAATTTCTTAAGAAATCAACCCAAGCAAAACTTATGTTCTCTTGTTTTATGATAAATATATATATATATAGATATATAGATATAGATATGCTTCACTACACTAACGCAAGCAAAGCAAGTGGATTGGTTGAGTTGCTCTAGAATCTGCCACAAATCAATTAGTAAGACTTGCGGTTAGTTATAGAAAAGCATAAGTAAGTAGAAAAACGGAAACAAAAGAATGAAGCAACCAAAAAAAACATAAATGCAGGGGAAAAGATTTCATGAAATGGTTTTATTTTCTGCCCCAACTCACTGTATCCAATTCAACCAGATTCCATAGTAACTATGTGTTGGCTGTTGGCACTTGGTTTGGTAGGTACAACATGACACCATTCTAATTTCTAGGCGCCATAAGAAGGTGAAGAGAATATCAAAACATTTCATGAAATCTCTCGATTTCATTCAAGTGGCATTGGGATTGATGGGTGGGAAAGTGGTAGGTCTTCCTAGCTTCAAATCTTATCGTTTGAAAAAGAAAAGAAATTAAAATTGCAAGCCATGACGAGTTCAAACTTTCATGCTATCAATCAGCTTTTGATTTGATTTTGATTTTGATTGCAGTGTTTTTACGTCTCGACATACATATACACATATAAACTTAGAGAGAACAGACCCAAAAAAAACTTTGAGAGAAATGTTCAATTTTAGACCATCTCGGCTCGAATAGGAAGGAAGGATTTGAGTAAATGAGAAAGTTTGAAATGAAAATAAGCGTACCTGAATTGAATGAGTCAGTAGACGCAGGTAGGGGAAGGAAATGTTGTTTCTATATATGTATTATTAGCTGACCGAAACAAGAGAATGACGGTGAACCCAAAGTTAGCACAACGGCATAACAGGTGGGTGGAGTGGGGAGGCTGACAACTGAAACTCTGATATGGAAATGAATGGGTTTTTTTTTTTTTTTGGGTCTTTCTTTTTTCTCAAGTTTGAATACAAATTAGAGAAATTCGATATATTGCTAAAGACAGAAATAAATAGAAATAAAAAGAAAAAACAGGGGGCGGAAGAGGGGGTTTAGAGATATGGGATGGAGGGATGCTATTGGTTGGAAGGGATTGGGTCCGGCTTTGTGTGGTGAGCGACCTGCCATTTGATTTATGTGTAGACTAGACACAACTTCTTCTGCTCTCTCTCTCTCTCTCTCTCTCTCTCCTCCTCCTCTTTCTTGATTTTTTTTTCTTTCAACTTTTGATATTTCGATTTTCTTTTTTTGTTTGTTCATAATTTGTTCCTGTGTATGCCCATGATTATTTGACATTCCAAGAGCCAAAACCATGGAGTATAACAACTGCATATGTGAAAAATGGATGGACCCGCCACTCCACACGTCACCACTTAACTACGTTAATCAACTATGCTTTACATTTCACACGCTCGCATCGCAGCCTTAAAAAAAAAAAAATCATGCTCCAATCCTCTTTTTGCAAATACATAAATGAGAAATTACATTACAAATTACTTTTCATAATACCAATAGCAACTCCTCAAATATAATGACTGTATCTATATTCTATCTATATCTTCTATATGGTGAAACATTTATAAATAAAAAAACCATTTATTAACTAAAGTGCTAAAAGACCACCATTTATTATTAGGGTTTAGATACGAAACTTATCATTTAAATACAAAACCCACTCACTAGATGCGGCAGTTATCCCCACCCTTCAACCCTCATTACTTTAAAAAAATAATTGTTTAAATATTAAAGCTAAAACATAAATTGGTATGATAAGAATGATTCTCATTAAGTTATTGGTGTCGTTTACTTAACAAGAATTGAGGAAGTAAGGAATCTATATGATAAGAATTATTCTCATTAAGCTGTTTACTAACCATATAGAATCAGCACTTGAATGGAGTTGATTCAAATTGTTATTGTTTACTAATTTTCATGAATGAGAACCTAAACTAAATTGATCACTAAAATGCCATGCATATATAAATATATATTTTTCACCTAAGTAACTTGTAAAAAAGCAAATTGACAAAACTTTATTTTACAACTAATATATAATATATGATACTATATAACGAGTGATGAAAAAAAAAAGCAGCATATAATAATATAAAGAATATAATAGGAAAAAAAAAACGAATATGACACAGTGATAAGTAGTAAACAAGACAAATGGAGGCTAGCAACCACGTTGAAAAGGGAAAAATTATGCTTTTTCCAACAATGATTAATAAACAACTATTAAATTTTGCTTTTTCTTCATTTTTCTTGGTGTGAGTTTTTATTTTTCTAGGGTTTGGGGTGTTTTGGAATTATTGTAAAGTGGCAAGAGTATTTTTGGAAGGTAGTAAGGTAAAAAAATAATTGATCCGATTCTTGATTTTGAGGGAATCTAATTATGAATTTTGAGATGGGACCCATACATTTTTTCATTATTGATTACAAGTAAACATGGAAAAGTGAGGAATAGAAATCATTTTCTTAAAGCAAATAACAAAGTCGTACATAGGATCACTTATGACAATTAATTTAAATGAAACAATATATTTTATGTTCTTCTATCTAGAATAAAGTTTAGTAAGATTCGAACTGCTAATACCACCACAAAGTTCACTTATTTTATAACTCCAGTTACGCGCGCCCTTTCAACTTTGTACTTCGAGTCGTGGTTTAAAACATAACACAAAAACATTGGGCACTACAACACCTGAATATGAATACAAGCCAAGCAAGCCAGACGAAAATAAGAAAAGCTCACATTACTCTTATTACGTAAGGGCAATGATTTCCCCACTCCTATTTTATCCACTTACACTCCTTTTTTAGTTATAAAAAAGGAGTGTAAGTGGATAAAATAGGAGAAAAATGAGTGGGGAAATCACCACTCTTATGTAAAATACAACTAGTTTAAGTTATAAACAGAGTCATTCAACTAAACAACACCAGAGAAAGAAAAAAAAAACTAAATAATAATTGTATTTATCTTCACATGCAAAGATGAGATTAACAAGCGGGAAATGCTAAACAAGAATAAAATCTTATTGATGCAAAGGAAGTATTGGTGTCTTGCTACAGTTGTCGTTCTGCAGCAAGTCTCCCAGATTATTGGGACCTGGCTGGAGCCCAGCTTATGAAGCAGGTGTAATACGAAGGGAAAAAAACATTCAAATGCATCGTGGTCAATTTGATAAGAACTGAATATCAGAACCATTTAACAGATAATACAGGAAAAGAAACGTATCCACCAAAGGAATAATACTCTTATGAATAAAAAAATGAATAATAGTCACTATTATTCAAACAACGAACGAACCAGTAACCACTTAAAGTTTAATAAATACATAAGTTAGCACTATTATGCCACTGCATTACAACACTGTTCTCTTCACAATTTTGCACAACATGAATTACTAAATTCTAAGCTTCTTACACATCTCCTTTGCTCAAACTGAACAAATCCTCAGCATTGTTCATATTATATATCTATATATATAATTAAAAACAAATTTCAGCTTAACTTACTTACAACGCTGATTTAGCGAGCTAGTCTCACAGAAACCTCTAGTTAACCTTGGACTCTTTCTTTTTCTTTTTTTTCTTTTTTTTGGGGGTGGGGGGGAAGGGAGAGAGAGAGAGAGAGAGATCAAATTTACACCCAAACAACCCATGGTAAATTCTGAACTTCATTCATCAATTTACACGAACTCTTGAAATTCTTTTCAGCTGCTGTAGTTTATCTCAATAACTAGGTTAAATTCCTTCAAACACATAAAAATCCATTTCAGAAGCAGCACGATATCTAAATTAAATTTCTGGCATTTGATAAACATATGAGAAGACTAAAGCCATTGAGGAAAGCAATACTAATTGCATGAAATGTAACAAGACAAAGAGAATCATTAGCCACAAATTATATTGTGCAAGCACAATGAATGAGCATGATCTGTATGTGGATTTTCATAGCATGAGCCCACTACCCATGTGAACTATTGAGTACAAGTTGTACAATGTTCTTGCCAACTCTGAGGATCTGATTGTTCACAGTAAAAAACTAATTCCAACATTAGGCAATCCTTCCATAGTCCTTTCTTCCTCGGGATGCAGGTGGAATGCTAGTGACAGGATGACTGGCTCTACGCCCTACAATAGAGTGCCACAATTAGTTTAAATGTTCTCAGCTCCCCAACCCTCCATTCAATCCCCCTTCTCCCATAAACACATTATATAGTTTGACAGATTTTGTTTACTAGGATGATAGCAGACAAAGGAAAATGGAGGGTAGAATGGCTTATGATGTGAAGTCAGAAAGTACCCCATGACATGCCGTTGCTGAATGAGCTATTTCCCGGAGAAAGTGGGCCACCAGAATTAAAATTGGGAGGAGAAGCCTGCACCTTCATATGATTCCAATCACCACCACGAGAATTGGTGGGTCTTCCTTGACTGGACCGCTGATATTGCTGTCCCAACCGGCTCGGAGAATTTTGTGATATATGTGGAAAATGAGAAGGTTTTGGCAAGCGTGTGTATCCAGCAAGTGGTTCATTAGTTGAAGGAGGGCTACCCACCTCTGCATGTGAATACGATTGAATGGGCCCATTTTGTCTGAAGAGATGGTAGACAATTGTAATCAATATGCAGAGGGACCAAAGAAATAAGAATAGGAGAAGAAAGAACTCTATTCCAAAGACAAGTACGGAAATGTGTCAACTGTAACATTCTGCCTCTTCTCATTAGGAAACTTGTTCATCATTAGAAACCTCCATTAATAGCAAATAGCACAGTAAAGCATTTTGCAGGAGGAAACATTTGAATATATTGTTGCAGATCCATCCCCACATTTTAAAAGAATACCGAATACTACATCAGTTATTTGCAATATACTTGTATACATATAATTTTCAGCTGAGGAAAACAAGGCAATTAATTATCTCATTGCAGATCAATCCACATGAGTTAGTGTTATTGCAGACTCTACAGACTGCATCAGTCATGTGGTAAATACTTGTATACATAAACTTGCTCAAGTAATTTCAGACTAAGTAAGTGAATAAGCTTGATAGATAGACGATACAACTTACCTTTGAAAGGATAGGGCTGCGCTTGTATTTGACACACGATTAAATCTTCCCGCCCCAACCAATTTTTCTGCAGAATTAAGATGCATGCCTTGGCTGAACTCAGTAGTAAAGCAGCTTACATCTGAACCATCTTCTTGTAGAAGAAGTTCATCGCTGGAATGAGAATGGAAAGACAGAAGAAAGAAGAATGCATATTAAATTCAGAAGAAATATGAGGTTGATTCAAGAATTCAACAAGTAAACCAACTGCTAGAGTTGAGCCTAGATGAAAACCAATGAGGAAGCCCAACGAATGGTTAGCAATGAAATTGGCATTCAACTTTAACATTCTTGCTACGTAGTAGACACTCCCATTATTGTCAAAATTATCTATGGATAAACCAATATAAGGTTTGCTGAACCATGGAAACAATGCAATAACTTTATACTATATCATTCTTGATTAAGATGCATGTTGTTGAAAAAGTCAAAGATTACCATGACTGGCTTAATTATATGGTAGGAGATCTTCTATGTCACAGTGAATTACATACAATGAAGAGAACCCAGGCTATGGTCATTCCCCAACCATGCAGTAAGCTTCATGGAACTAACAGTTGGCCCTACATCTTTGAGTTATCTGGTCTAGCGCCTTTACAAACTCAGAAAGGGGTCAGCGAAAGGCTAAAATTGGGTGAGTCATAAAACCATCATCATTTAGGGTCCTACTCTTATTGAGGCTCACAAATAAAGTTCTCTGTATGCTTGATACCTAAATTTTGACTGCAAACATCTATTAATGAAAGAAAAGCATGCAGCACACTCATAGGAATCATATCTTTGTAGCGACTAAAAGATGGGAAACTTAGTAAAAACACTGTCAATTTTTAACTTTTAGTTACCAAAAAA